AAGGAGAGATCGACAACAATACAATCATAGTAGGGGACTTTAATACACCACTGACAGCACTGGATAAGTCCTATAGACAAACAATCAGCAAAGATACAGCAATCCTAAATGACTCACTAGATCAGATGGACTTAATAGACATCTTCAGAACACTTCACCCCAAAGCCAGGGAATATACGTTCTTCTCAAGTGCTCATGGGACATATTCAAAAATAGACCATATATTGGGTCACAAGCAAAGTATCCCCAAATTCAAGAAAATTGAAATCATAAAAAGTGTCTTCGCAGACCACGATGGCATAATATTAGAAATAAACTACAATAAAAACAACCCAAAATACTCAAACACCTGGAAGCTGAATAGCATGCTATTAAATATTGATTGGGTTACCAATGAAATCAAAGAAGAAATTCGAAACATCCTGGAAACTAATGACAATGAAAACACAACAATCCAAAACCTATGGGACACAATGAAAGCAGTCCTGAGAGGGAAGTTTATAGCTCTACAGGCCTATCTCAAAAAACAAGAAAAAATGGTAGTAAATCATCTAACTCTACAACTCAAAGAACTAGAAAGAGAGCAACAAGAAAACCCCAGAGTGAGCAGAAGGAAGGAGATAATAAAGATTAGAGCAGAAATAAATGACATAGAGACCAAAAAAACAATACAGAAAATCAATGAAACCAAGAGCTGGTTCTTTGAAAGGATAAACAAGATTGACAAACCTCTAGCCAGACTCACCAAGAAGCAAAGAGAGAGGACCCAAATAAACAAAATCAGAAACGATAGAGGCGAAATAACAACAGACCCCACAGAAATACAAATGATTGTTAAAAAATACTATGGACAGCTCTACTCCAACAAACTAGACAACCTGGAGGAAATGGACAAATTCCTAGAAAAATACAACATTCCAAAACTCAATCAGGAAGAATCTAAAAATCTCAACAGGCCAATAACTATGGAAGAAATTGAAGCAGTCATCAAAAAGCTTCCAGCAAACAAAAGCCCAGGACCAGACGGCTTCACAGGGGAGTTTTACCAAACATTCAAGGAAGAACTAAAACCTATCTTCCTCAGACTACTACAAAAAATTCAAGAGGAAGGAACACTTCCAAGCTCATTCTATGAAGCCAGCATCACCCTAATACCAAAACCAGGTAAAGACAACACAATGAAAGAGAATTACAGGCCAATATCCCTCATGAACATAGATGCCAAAATCCTCAACAAAATCTTAGCAAATCGGATCCAGCAGTACATCAGAAAGATCATACACCATGACCAAGTAGGATTTATCCCAGGGATGCAAGGATGGTACAATATCCGCAAATCAATAAACGTGATACATCACATAAACAAATTGAAAGAAAAAAACCACATGGTCATATCAATTGATGCAGAAAAAGCATTTGACAAAATTCAACACCCATTTTGATAAAAGCTCTCAGCAAGGTGGGAGTAGAAGGATCATACCTCAACATAATAAAAGCCATATATGACAGGCCCACAGCCAACATCATACTCAATGGACAAAAACTAACACCATTTCCCCTAAGAACAGGAACAAGACAGGGATGCCCCCTCTCACCACTCCTGTTCAACATAGTACTGGAAGTGTTAGCCATTGCAATTCGGCAAGAAGAAGAAATAAAAGGCATCCAAATTGGAAAAGAGGAAGTAAAACTGTCCTTATTTGCAGACGACATGATATTATACATACAAAACCCTAGAGACTCCATCAAAAAGCTACTGGACTTAATACATGAATTTGGCAATGTAGCAGGATACAAAATTAACCCCAAGAAATCCGAGGCATTTCTATACACCAATAGTGAACTTTCAGAAAGAGAGATTATAAAAACAATCCCGTTTACCATCGCACCAAAAAAATTAAGCTACCTAGGAATAAACTTAACTAAAGAGGTAAAAGACCTCTACTCAGAAAACTACAGGAAGTTGAAAAAGGATATAGAGGAAGACATAAACAGATGGAAGAACATACCGTGTTCATGGATTGGTAGAATCAACATCATTAAAATGTCCATACTACCCAAAGCAATCTATAAATTCAACGCACTTCCCATTAAAATACCAACGGCATACTTCAGAGATCTAGAACGAACTCTCCAAAAATTCATCTGGAATAAAAAAAGACCCCGAATAGCTGCAGCAATCCTGAAAAAGACCAAAGTAGGTGGGATCTCAATACCAGATATCAAGTTGTATTCCAAAGCCACTGTTCTCAAAACTGCCTGGTACTGGCACAAGAATAGGCATATAGATCAATGGAATAGAATAGAGAGCCCAGAAATTGGCCCGAACCAATATGCTCAATTAATATTTGACAAAGGAGGCAAGAACATACAATGGAGCCAAGATAGTCTCTTCAATAAATGGTGTTGGGAAAATTGGACAGATATATGCAATAAAATGAAACTAGACCACCAACTTACACCATACACAAAAATAAACTCAAAATGGATAAAGGACTTAAACGTACGACAGGAAACCATAAAAATTTTAGAAGAATCCAAAGGCAACAAAATCTCAGACATATGCTGAAGCAATTTCTTCACTGATACAGCTCCTAGGGCACTTGAAACTAAAGAGAAAATGAACAAATGGGACTACATCAAAATAAAAAGCTTCTGCACAGCAAAAGAAACCATCAACAAAACAACGAGAAAACCCACTGTGTGGGAAAACATATTTGCCAATGTCATATCTGATAAGGGCCTAATCTCCAAAATTTATAGGGAACTCATACAACTTAACTAAAGGAAGATAAACAATCCAATCAAAAAATGGGCAAAGGACCTAAATAGACACCTTTCAAAAGAGGACATTCAGAAAGCCAAGAGACATATGAAAACATGCTCAAAGTCACTAATCATCCGAGAGATGCAAATCAAAACAATAATGAGGTACCATCTCACACCTGTCAGACTGGCTATCATCAACAAATCAACAAACGACAAGTGCTGGAGAGGATGTGGAGAAAAAGGAACACTTGTGCACTGCTGGTGGGAATGCAGACTGGTGCAGCCACTATGGAAGACAGTATGGAGTTTCCTTAAAAAACTGAAAATGGAACTCCCATTTGACCCTGTGATCCCACTTCTAGGAATATATCCCAAGAAACCAGAAACACCAATCAGAAAGGATATATGCACCCCCATGTTCATAGCAGCACAATTCACCATAGCTAAGATCTGGAAACAGCCTAAGTGCCCATCAGTAGATGAATGGATTAGAAAACTGGTACATCTACACGATGGAATACTATGCTGCTCTAAAAAGGAAGGAACTCTTACCATTTGCAACGTCATGGATGGAACTGGAGAGCATTATGCTAAGTGAAATAAGCCAGTCAATGAAGGAAAAATACCACATGATCTCACTCATTCATGGATAATAGAGACCATTATAAACTTTTGAACAATAATAGATACAGAGGCAGAGCTGCCTCAAACAGATTGTCAAACTGCAGCAGGAAGGCCGGGGAGGGTTGGGGGGCAGGAGGTAGGGGGGTAAGAGATCAACTAAAGGACTTGTATGCATGCATATAAGCATAACCAGTGGACATAAGACATTGGGGGATAGGGGAGGCTAGGGGACTGTCTAGGGCGGGGGGATAAAATGGACACATATGTAATACCCTTTGTAATACTTTAAGCAATAAAAAAATAAAAAAAAAAGCTCTGGTCAGATGGCTTCACAGTGGAGTTTTACCAAACATTCAAAAAAGAATTACAACCTATCCTCCTCAGACTATTCCAAAAAAAATTCAAGAGGAAGGAACCACTTCCAAGTTCTTTCTATGAAGCCAGGATTACCCTAATCCCCAAACCAGATAAAGGCACTACAAAGAAAGAGAATTACAAGCCAGTATCTCTGATGAACATAGATGTTCAGATCCAGCATTCCATTAGAAAGATCATACACCATGACCAAGTAGGGTTTATTTCAGGGATGCAAGGATGGTAAAGTATCTGTAAATCAATAGAAAAAACACACACAAAGCAAAGAAAAAGAAAACAAAAGTTTAAATCAATTCATGCCATTTCTCTGCTCAGATCCTCCAGTGGCTTCCCTTTTCACTGAGAGTAAAAGCTCTACTTTACTGGATTCCTTTTACCTCTCTGACCTACTATCCCTTTTATACTTTAAACTATTCCAACCACATGGCCTCTGGTTTTCTTTCAGGTCACCAGGCATACTTCTGATGTAGGGCCTTTACACCCGCTCTTCTGTGTGTAATGCCCTTCCCCTGGAGGTCTGCTTGATCATCTTCCTCATTTCTTTAGAACTTTGCTCCAAAGCACCTTCTTAGTAAGGCTTTCCCTGCCACTGTGTATGAAGTGTTAATGCCTTCTTAAACAACATTTTATATGACCCTTTCTTGCTTAGTTTTTTCTCCCTTAGCATTTATCAACTTCCAACATACCATAATTTCTTATTTTCTTTCCTGTCTGTCTTTCTCCACTGCTAAGACAAGACCTCGAGGGCATATTTGGCCCATTTGGTGTACTGCTGATCCCCAGTATCTAGATTAGTGTTGGTTCATGTAGCTTCTCAATACATATTTGTAGAATACAGTGGGGGCCTTGACTTACAAGTGTCCCGACTAATGAGTTTTTCGAGATACGAGCCGTCTCTCGGCCAATTTTTTGCTTTGAGTTGCGAGCTAAAATTCAGGTTATGAGCCAGCTTCAGATACCCCACCGCTAGTTGGCGCAGTGAACGTCACAGTGAACACCACAACATCAGCCCAGCATCACGTGTCTCACTCGTTCACTTTAATGATTTGACATATGAGTAATTTGAGTTACGAGCTCCATCACGAAACGAATTAAACTTGTAAGTCAAGACCCCACTGTACAGTTATTTTTTTATTTGCCTTAAATACAGTGCATGGATGCTTTTCACTCTTACCAAAATCATATTTAGTTCATATTGGAGACTGACTGAAAACAAAATCTATTTTTGACAGGACTATCCAAGAGCTGCAGGGCCAGCTGCAGTACGAACGACTGCGGAGAGAAAAACTAGAAAGTCAGCTGGATGAGTGTCGAGCAGAGGTGGATCAGCTCAGGCAGACCCTGGAAGATATTCAGGTCCCCAATTCCATGCCGGCGGTTAGTGTCCTTCTTAACACATTTATCTTTCTCAAGAAGTAGTATACAAGAGTAGTGAAGAGTTCAAGTTTTGGACTGGGGATATCTGGATTTGAATCCTGGCTACAACCCTTTTTTGGTTTGAACAAATCATTTAACTTCTCTTTGCCTTAGTTGTAAACTGGAGGTAATAATTTATATTTTCTAGAGTGTTGTAAGGTTTAAATGAATATATATCTATGTATATTCCTTCATATATCTATACTAATAATAGACAAATATGTAAATTGACCATCCCTCCACAACAGCCAATCAGGAGTGAGTATGCAAATTAAACCGACAAAGATGGCGGGCCTGTGGGCAGCATGCATGTGCACGGGCGTTGAGTGGCCGGGGGGTGGGTGGGATATGGCGGTCATCCCCGGGACCCCAGCCACTCTGAGCCTGTGGCCAGTGCGTGTGCACGCCGATGCCGAGTGGCTAGGGTCCCGGGGACGCCACTGGAGTGTCCGGTCCTGTCAGCCTGGCCTGGGGGCAGCTGAAGTTCCCAGAACCAAAAGTGCGGGGAGCACCAGGAATTCTGGGAATCATAGTTCTGGTATCAGCCCGTGGACCGGAAGCAGAAGCCCATAGCGCGGGGAGCACCAGGACGGCTGGGAATTGTAGTTCTGATGGTAGAAGCTTTGCAGGATCTCTAGACACTAGAGCAAAGTGAGCCTGGAGCAAGTTACTGTTGCAGGTGGGGGATGGAGGGAAAGCAAAGGTGAGAGACATAAGTAAAGTCAGACTGTTGAGGAAAAATTAAAAGGAAGATATCCTGAACTTCCTGGAAATCTCCACCAATGGAGCAAAGAAAAAAAAAGACCTCTATTATTCTGTGAGCACCAAACCAAACTGGGTTGGGGTCTCAGACAATTTGCTCATATGATTGCAAAGACAGACAGAAACTCCCGGATGGGAGAGGACTCTCCTGAGGGCTACCAGATTGGAGAGGGTTTCAGGTCGGGCTGAGGGACCCACCCCCATGCACGAATTTTGTGCACCGGGCCCCTAGTCTATAATAATATAAGGGTAATATGCTAATTAGACTGGACATCCTTCCAAATGACCTTCCAGATGAAGCCAGGGCTGCGAGGGAAGTCTGGGTCCCAGGTGCCAGAGGGAAGCCAGTGCCAGCAGCCGGGGGAAGGAAGGCCTACTCTTGCATGAATTTTGTGCATCGGGCCTCTAGTACACACATATCTACATATATATCTACATATATATTGGTTAGAACAGCAGCCTGGTTCATAAATGTGCAGTGTTGTTCTTATTATTGTACCATATAAGGAAAAAATATTTGCAGAGTAATCAAGAATTCTAAGGCAATTAGAGAGTATATATAAATATAATTTAACATTCTAAATAGCCAAAATAAAGTGCTTTGAGTGGAATCCATGTAAGAAATCGTCAGTTTCTCAAAGGAGCAATTTTAAGAATAGAAAGCCAGCATGGAAGTTGTCATAGTATCCCTTTGTTCAGATTACATTTGTAACACAAAGTTCTTACATGTCATTTGATCTGCTCTCATTTAACATCTGAGGAAACTGAAGCTCAGAGAGTGGAGTTGTCTAAATTCACACAACTAGTTATGGTGGGATCAGTATTCAATCTCTAACTTTTGATTCCATAGCCTTATCTCTTTTCATAATTCCCAGCTGGAACTATGAATTTGGAATTTGGAATATAGGAAAATGCTTATAGTTATAGATGAAAAGGACAAATCTCTAGAAGGAAGCTAAAAAGAAAAGAATATGGAAACAGATACAAAGAACAAATACAGGAAAACAGGTGGAGTATTTTTATAACTGAGTGACAGCGTCAGCAGGAAACCCAGTGGTACTTGTATTTCAGGCCATCTGGCCTCAGGAGAAGAGGCAGAAAGTACACTGGGGAAACTTTACCCTTGCTCCCTTCTGTGAGTGAAGACAGGCCATGATGTGGTCCTTGTGGACAGCTCATGTGACATAGTGTAGGGATTTGGGTACGTTACATATTTTCCTTTCATGGGAAATTTTTTCTTCAGTCACCAAGGGTGAGCTAGTTCTGTTCCAGACCTGTATCACCTCAAACCTGATCTGTACGGCAAACTTCCTGACACTGTTTTATTTTACTTTAATCTAGAGTTGGAAATATTAGCATCATTAATTTTTTCTTTTGGAACAAATAGAAAGATAAAATGTGTCTAGGGTAGAAATCTTACTTGGTTCTCTTTTTTTGTCATTTATAGGAAGATGACTCTTCTTTTGAGTCAAGCAAAGAGAAGAAGCGAGTGAAGAAGAAAGTGTCTTCTGGGGGCGTTTTTGTGAGAAGGTACTAATCAATGAAACGAATTTAAATAAACTTGCTTGATTTTTCTCTTTTATTTAAAAATTGATATGTTAATATGTTAAACTCTTTTCAAGTTACTCTGATATACAATTTACTCCAATTTTTAAGGCAGAAATGTTACATAACCTCAAAGGAATTGTTAAAATTGCATGTACTCAGTTGTATCTCCCTCCCAATATATCCTCTTTATAGTTATGTAGGCAAGTTAAGATTTAGATTTATGAGTAATTAATTTAGCAAAATATTCACATAAACTTTAAAACATAATATTAAAGTTTCCAAAGGAATACAATTCCAGATGTTAAAATTATGATAGATATTAAAAATTCTATTATAGCCCTGACCAGTTTGGCTCAATGGATAGAGCGTTGGCCTGTGGACTGAAGGGTCCCAGGTTCGATTCTGGTCAAAGGCATGTACCTTGGTTGCGGGCACATCCCCAGTGGGAGGTGTGCAGGAGGCAGCTGATTGATGTTTCTAACTCTCTATCCCTCTCCCTTCCTCTCTGTAAAAAACCAATAAAATATATTTTTTAAAACATTTTATTATAGCTTCATAATAAAATTATATTTCTCTTATTTTCTAGAGAGTACCTTACTACTAAGGTATATGTGTTTTTTGTTTTATTTTTTAACTTTTCAAGTGACTTGACTTTTAGAAAGCATCTGGGCTTGGGAGAAAATACAATTTAAGAACAGTAAGTTTTAGAAAAGGCCAATTTTGCAATAACAACCAAATATCTCACTCAGGAAAGTTTTACAGAAATGAAGACCAGTAGTTGTAAAAGGATTTTAAAAAATACATAATGTGTGCTTACTAAGAGTACCCATGTATATAACCTGATTTAAAATTCAACCATTGTTCTGTCTTGCAGACTCTATAAGAAAGGAATGTAGAGACAAGGCAAATTGGGAAAAATAAAAAATACATGGTTTTATTAGTATTTTCCCCCAACTTAGCTGACTAAGAAAAACAACTATGGAAGTTCTGACTTCAATTCCCTCCCTTTTCCTACCCGACCCCACTCCTTGACCTAGAAAAGTTTCGTCACTCTCCTGCGGCAATTGTCTGGATCCTGCCTCCCCCTGAAGATCTGATGGCTAGCTTTGGGCTTCATCGGCAGCAGCTTCTTTTTTTTTTAAATTTTGTTTTATTGCTTAAAGTATTACAAAGAGTATTGCATAGGTCTCCTTTTCTCCCCCCTTGATCTTTCCCCAGCCTCCCCTACCCCCCAGTGTCTTGTGACCATTGGTTATGCTTATATGCATGCATACAAGTTCTTCGGTTGATCTCATACTCCTCCCCCTTCCAACCCTCCCCAGCCTTCCCCCTGTAGTTTGACGATCTGTTCGATGCTGCTGTACCTCTGTATCTATTTTTGTTCATCAGTTTATAATGGTCTTTATTATCCATAAATGAGTGGGATCATGTGGTATTTTTCTTTCATTGACTGGCTTATTTCACGTAGTATAATGCTCTCCAGTTCCATCCATGCTGTTGCAAATGGTCTTCTTCCTCTTCTTAAAGAATACCTTTCAGCATTTCATATAATACTGGTTTGGTGGTGAACTCCTTTAGGTTTTTTTTTTTTTGTTTGTTTTTTTGTTTTTTTTTTATCTGTGAAGCTCTTTATCTGACCTTCAATTCTGAATGATAGCTTTGCTGGGTAAAGTAATCTTGGTTGTAGGTTCTTGCTATTCATCACTTTGAATATTTCTTGCCACTCCCTTCTGGCCTGCATAGTTTCTGTTGAGAAATCAGCTGACAGCCATATGGGTTCTCCCTTGTAGGTAACTAACTGTTTTTCTCTTGCTGCTTTTAAGATTCTCTGTTTGTCTTTTGCCCTTGGCATTTTAATTAGGATGTGTCTTGGTGTGGTCTTCTTTGGATTCCTTTTGTTTGGGGTTCTCTGTGCTTTCTGGACTTGTAAGTCTATTTCTTTGACCAGGTAGGGGAAGTTTTCTGTCATTATTTCTTCAAATAGGTTTTCAATATCTTGCTCTCTTCTTCTGGCACCCCCATAATTCTGATGTTGGTACGCTTGAAGTTGTCCCAGAGGCTCCTTACACTATCTTGATATTTTTGAATCCTTTTTTCTTTTTGCTTTTCCGGTTGGGTGGTTTTTGCTTCTTCATATTTCAAATCCTTGACCTGATTCCTGCGATCCAAAGTCTGCTGTTGGATCTCTGTATGATATTCTTTTTATTTCTTAAAGTATTACAAAGAGTATTACACGTCTCCTTTCTCTCCCCCCCCCGGCCCTTGACATTCCTCTGGCCTCCCCCAACCCCCAGTGTCTTGTGTCCATTGGCTATTCTTATATGCAGGCATACAAGTCCTTCGGTTGATCTCCTATCCCCCCCCAACCCTCCCCTGGCTTCTCACTGTAGTTTGACAGTCTGCTCAGTGCTGCTGTGCCTCTGTATCCATTTTTGTTCATCAGTCTATAATGGTCCTTATTATCCATAAATGAGTGAGTTCATGTGGTATTTTTCTCGGGTTACCAGGGGCTGTCTCAGTCTCACAGGGGCCATCTCAGCCTCACAGAGGCCTTCCCAGCTTCACAGGGGCTGTCTCCGCCTCACAGGGGCCATCTCAGCCTCACTGGGGCCGTCCTGACCTCACTGGGGCTGTCCTGGCCTCACGGGGGGCTGTCTCAGCCTCACAGGGGCCATCCTGGCCTCACGGTGGCCGCCTCAGTCTCACGGGGGTCGTCTCGGCCTCATGGGGGCCGTCTCAGCAACACAAAGTTTGGCATTCTGTCCTTTGTTGGGCGGCTCCTTGCTGGACAAAATCTCCAGGCGTTCCTGGTGGCTGAATATCTGGTATGCTTGCTTGGATTTCGTTTTCTACCAAGTGCACAGACTGCCTGTTTGCCGTCTCCCAGCATCCCATGTGAGACTGGATCTGGTGGACCTGCCTGTGTGTTTGCTGGTACAGTGGATCCATGTCGCCGGCCCAGCCGGGTCTGGCTCTGGCTTCCTCTGAACCTGATTCTGCTTCTTGAGTGTGTCCCTTATGTATGCGAGGAGTTGAAATCTTCAGTGTGCTGGGCTGGGCTGCAAAAGTGCCGCTGGTTCCCTTTGTGCCACTGGCACAGCTTGGGTGGGGATGTAAATTGAGTAGAGTGGGGTCCCCAGGAATCACCAGGGCAGAGCAAGGGGCAATGGCATCTCCGCAACTCCTCGCCTCTCCGTGACTCCATGTCTCGTGTCCCTGAGTGCCGGTGAGCAGCTCTGCAAGACAGCCACTCTCGCTCTCCAGCCCGTTGCAAGGCCGTCCCGCCTCTCCCTGTAGGGGTCTTGGACCTCAGGATCCCGCCCAAAACAAGCTCAGTGGATTTGAGAGTCTGCATCCCCTTCTGATTAAAAAAAACCATGCATCCAGTTGCAGCCCGCCTGACGTGCAACTCCGCACCTCTGTTCTTGGTGAATCACCAGGGCGGGGCAAAGGGTAATGGTGTCTCCGCGACTCCTGCCTCTCCGCGACTCCACGTCCCCGCATCCCCAAGCACTGGCAGGGAGCTCCGCGAGCAAGCCACCCTCGCTCTCCGACCCGTTGCAAGGCCATCCCGCCTCTCCCCATAGGGGTATGGGACCTCAGAATCCAGTCCCAAACAAGCTCAGTGGACTCGAGAGTCTGCAGCCCCTTCCGATGGAAAAAAACCGCGCATCCAGTTGCAGCCCGTTGGGCGTGCGAGTCTGTACCTCCGTTCTTGGAGCCTCTGCAAAACCTACTCAGTCTCAATGCTCTTCTTTCTTTGCTTCCAGTTGTAGAGCTTCCACTGGGCCAGCTTTCCCATGGTTCTGAATGATAGCTGTTTGTCTTATAGTTGGTAGTCTCAATGTTGTTGTGGGAAGCAGCACGCACAGGTCTGTACCTTATGCTGCCATCTTGGTTCCAGAGTCTGTATGATATTCTTTATTTCAGTCAGTGTATGCTTAATTTCTATTTGGTCCTTTTTTATATCCTCGAGGGTCTCACTAGATTTATGGAGGGTCTCACTAAATTTATCGGCGGTTTCTAGAAAATTCTTGAAAAACCTTAAAAGTGTGGTTTTGAACTCTATCCAGTCGTTTGCTTTCCTCCATTTCTGTCATTTGTGACCTGTTTCTTTGTCTCCGCATTTTTTATGCTTCCCTGTGTTGATAGAGTGGCTTTCTGTGCTAGGTGTCCTATAGGACCCAGGGGCTTAGCCTCCCCAATTACCTGAGGTGGACACTCTTGGTGCACCCCCTTGTGGGCTTTGTGCACAGTCTTGTTGTAGTTAAGCCTTGATTGTTGTAGGTATCACTGGGAGGAATTGACCTCCAGGCAATTGGCTATAAGAATCAGCTGTGTCTGCAGTGGGAGAACTTCTGTGCTGGAGACACCCTTGTGGGGCAAGTCTTGCTTCAGTGGGGCTTTGGTGCTCACTGAGTCTACCCCCTGAGGGTGTCCCTTAAGGATGTGAGGCGTTGTAATCTGGATGGTCCCACTCTGACCACTGGGTACATTGGCTCTTGGATCTCTAAGGAGGTGCTAATTTAGCCTCTGCCTGAGACTACCCAGCAGGAGCTACGGAGAGATCTGCAGATTCCTCTTCTTTGGAGTTTGGAGGTGCCCAGATGAGGCCCAGCTGTGAAGCAATGCAAGCTGCTGTGGGGCCTTGGGCCAGCTGCAGTTGGTTAGGTAATTTTCAGATTGCAAAGGACCAGGCCTTTCATATGCAAAAGTGGGCCCACAGCTTGGGCGGGGTGGGGTCGCAAGAGATCAACAGGGCGGAGCAAGCAGCTATGGCTGCTCCTCAGTCCTGCCCTAAGAGGCCCCGCTTCTCAGTGTCCCAGTAATCACTTCAAGCACCTCTGAGAGAAAGCCACCCTCGAGGTCCGACTGATGCCAGTCTAGCCCAGGGGTGGGCAAACTTTTTGACTCGAGGGCCACAATGGGTTCTTAAACTGGACCGGAGGGCTGGAACAAAAGCATGGATGGAGTGTTTGTGTGAACTAATACATGTTAACACTGCTACTGGTGAAGGAGGGGAGGGGAGAGCAA